GCGGGCGGATTGCTCGAGGTCAGGAGTTCGAACCACCTGGAGCAGACAAGCTAGTCTCTACTAAGAAAGAGTCTCAGTCTGTCACCCCAGGTAGTGTGCAGTGGTGTTATCATAGCTCGTTGCAACCTCAAACTCTTGGGCTCAAGTGACCTTCCTGCCTCAGCCTCCCTAGTAGCTGGGATTATAGGTGCATGCCACTGAACCCAGCTAATTTTTCTGTTTTTGGTAGAGATAGGGTGTCGCTCTTGCTCAGGCTGGTCTTGAACTCCTGACCTCAAGTGATCCTTCTCCTGGGTCTTCTAGAGTGCTAGGACAGGTTTTTTTCATGGGCAGTTTTTTGTTGTTGCTTTTTTCTTTTTCCCTTTCTGATGTTGTTCCCTATGTGGGCAATTTCCATTGATTAAGTATTTTTCTTTGAATTGGCCAGACTTTTGTTTCTTTGTATGCCTTATATTTATATTTTTTGTTAAAAACTGGACGTTGGGGTTGGGCACTGTGGCTCGTGTCTGTAATCCTTCCTAGCACTCTGGGAGGCTGAGGCAGGAGGACCGCTCAAGGTCAGAAGTTTGAAACCAAGCCTGAGCAACAGTGCGACCCTGTCTCTACTAAAAATAGGAAGAGATTAGCCGGCCAGCTAAAAATATATAGAAAAAATTAGCTGAGCATGTTGGTGCATGCCTGTAGTCCCAGCTACTCGGGAGGCTGAGGCAGAAGGATTGCTTGAGCCCAGGAGTTGAGGTTGCTATGAGCTAGGCTGATGCCACAGCACTCTAGCCCGGGCAACAGAGTCAGACTCTGTCTCAAAAAAGACCAATAAAAACTAGACATTTTAGTTTAATAATGTGATAACTTTGGAAATCAGTTTTTCCCCCTTCCCTGGGGTTTACTGGTTTTTGTTATTATTACTGTTTTTTTATTGTTGTAGGTTGTCTTTGTGCAAAGGATCAGCCTAAGCTGTAAACTTAAGGTCTTCTCAAGTCTTTTCTTAGCCTTTGCCTTTCCCTGAGTATGGGGGGTCCCGTTTTAATTTTCCCTGAATATTTAATTGTTTTTTATTGTCCTGCTCTTTAATGTTTTGCTCTTCAAAGGGGAAAAGGAGAAAAATGAGGCAGAGGAGGGACACTATGCCTTTAAATCCCCTAGAAGTTACTTCACCTGGAGGGGGAGGAGTTTGCAGCATTTTGGCGGGTGGATGTAACAACTATGGCCACTGCATCTTTGTCTTCAGCTTCATCATCAGAAGAAGCAATCAGAGCACAGAGTCTCCACATTTGGAGGACAGGGTCCTTTTTTTCCCACCTTGGCTCGTGCAAACTGTGTACAGTTTGCTTCAGGAACAATTGCATACCCGCCTGCTTTGTGACTAGAGGTACAGGGTGGGCAGCCACTACTGTGTTAAAATTGGAAATTAGCAGAAATTAACCACAGCTTACCTTTCAAGCCTTTGAAGCCTGGAAGTTGAATGCCTTCCGTAGACTCCAGAGTTCCAAAATAGTTGCATCAAACAGATTCTGCCAGTACAGTAGTTGTCATGGTAGGGAAAACAAATTCATGGTGCTTCCCACTCTGCCATCTTCCCATCATTTCCTCCATCTTTTGTCTCTTTATTGCATATTCCTAACACTTAGAACAATACCTGGTACTTAGTGGATGCCTCACAGAAAAGTGTTGAATAAATGAAGAAAAACAGTCATAGTAGTGGATATAGGTTGCATCCTAGATATAGTTATACTCAATTGGTTGATGATTATGAGATGAGTAACAGATTAGTCAAAAATGGCTCCTTTAAAAAAAAAAGTTTGTTCTTAGACTTTTGGCCTAAGCATGGGTAGAATTTTCATTTCTTGAGATTAGGAGACTGAGAGTAGCAAATTAGAGGATAAAATGAACTGTGATATTCAGAGGCAAGTGATTCCTTGAACTGTGATCTGGCGAAATAAAAAAAAGTAGTAATGAAAATAGTTATTCTTCTACTTGGTTTTAACATTATGTAAGTTTGGGAGACTATACTCATTTATTTGTATTGTTTTCTCAGGTTATGCGCATTGTGGATAATGTCCGTCCAGATCGTCAGACAGTTATGTTTTCAGCTACTTTCCCCAGAGCTATGGAGGCTTTGGCTCGCAGAATCCTGAGCAAACCCATTGAAGTGCAGGTTGGAGGCAGGAGTGTGGTTTGTTCAGATGTGGAACAACAAGTGGTGAGTACTGTCTTTGGGAATTGCCCAGTTTCCTTGATATTTAGGTATTGTGTGTGACCTTTTGAGATCATTGTGAGGTGGGCAGATGATTTCCAAAATTAACTAGTATACATTAACTACAGCCTTCGATATTTTATCAGATACACTTGACTATGCTGTTTCATGAAACTGACAGTTTAAATGGTCTTTTTAGTGGTGCAAGCCTACAGTCCCAACTACTTAGGAAGCTGAGGCAAGAGAATTGCTTGAGTCCAGGAGTTCTGAGCTGTAGTTTATTATGCTGATAGGGGTCTGCATTAAGTTCAGCATCAGTATGGTGACCTCCTCAGAGCAGGAGACCACCAGGTTGCCTAAGAAGGGGTGAACCAGCCCAGGTTGGAAACAGCATGTGAAAAGTCCTGTGCTGTGACCTGTGAATGGCCACTGCACTTTATTAGCCTAGGCAACATAGCAAGACCCTGTCTCTGTAAAAATAAATACTTGTTTTAGTTTATCTTATCAGAAGTAGTGAGCTAGTAGATAGAAATGTCAGATACCTATCTTATTCTATAGTTATTAGGATATGAAATTAAGAGGCACAGAGAACAGATGATCATTTGCCCACATTTATAAACCACTTACTCTTTGAAAGTTTTTTTTTTCTTATTTTTAAGACTAGTCAAGTGCAGTTTGAGAAGGGGAGTAGAACAAGGAGTTCAATCTGTAACTGTGAACAATCAAGTGAGATAACTCACCACCTTTGGGCCAGCCCTCTTTGAAAGTTTACAATTTTTTTTTGTCTCATTGGTTTACAATTAACATTTTCCTAGCCCTTTACTAAATATATAGCAAGATATTATAGTTTATTCATCCAACACAAATAAAATGAATATTTTAGTCTAAGCGATGTATCTGTATTTTCATTCCATTAACTTAGTGCAATTTGCTGTTTTCAGATAGTGATTGAAGAAGAAAAGAAATTCTTGAAGTTACTTGAGCTTCTAGGCCATTATCAAGAATCAGGATCTGTCATTATATTTGTGGACAAGCAGGAACATGCTGATGGTCTTCTGAAGGATTTAATGAGAGCATCTTATCCTTGCATGTCTCTTCACGGAGGTAATGATTAATTTCATTCATACGTGAAATATCTGTTAAGTATTTAGCCTGCCAAGCACTGTGCTGTGATTTGAATGATAATGTTTGCTTTATTCTCTTTAATTTAGAGCTAAATTTTATATCATTTCCTTTTTTTATTTTTGGAGACAGAGTGTTGCTCTGTTGCTCTGTCACCTGGGCTAGAGTGCTGTGACGTAAGCTTACTTCATACCACCCTCAAACTCCTGGGCTCAAGTGATCCTCCTGCCTCCGCCTCTTGAGCAGCTAGGATTACGGGCATGTGCCACCACGCCCGGCTAAATTTTTAGTAGGGACAGGGTTATACTCTTATTAAGGCTGGTCTCGAACTCCTGACCTGAGCAATCCTCCTGCCTCGGCCTCCCAGAATGCTAGGATTACAAGCATGAACCACCACGCCTAGCCCAAAATACGGTTTTTATTTTAACATGATTGCTCCATTGTTTGAAATGAATTAATAAGCATTTAAAAATTTTTTCAATTTTAATTCCTATTGATTATTCATATATTGATAGAAAAGACCTATATAAAGTAAAACTCTTTGGGTGTAGTTCCTGTTGATTTTATGAGTGTAAAGGCATCCTGAGCAAAGTTTGAGAGGGACTGGTTTACACTAAGTGTGATTAACCTCTTGAAACTGGGAATTAGGCTTATCTCCTAGTTGATGTATACATGACCATGTGTTGAGTTGGTTTATGAACAAAATTGGCATTATTCTAAAAAAGAGGGTTAATGATGATTGTTGGGTAGGTATCCGATATGCTTCAGTTAGTATATTGTGTTCATTTCCAAGGAATAAAATATGTACAGTTGTGGTAGTAGTCAGGATACCTTAGGCTAAAGTAGAAGTTTAGTATTTTTAAATGACAAATTTAAATTTATGTTGATATTGATTCTTTAAGTGAGTTTTTTGGTCCAGTGTTAGATCCCAGTCTCTTTGACATAAGATACAATACTTTTTAAATCAATATTTGAAGACTACATTTAAAATTTTAGATAGTAATAGGAATTAATACTGATAAATATTTAGATGCTAAATATTCTGGGTTTTTCTTAAATTCAGATTTAATACTGAGCAACATAGGGAGACCCTGTCTGTACAAAAAATAGAAAGAGTAGCCAGACGTGGTGGTGTGTGTACCTGTAGTACCTGGTATTCAAGAGACTAAGACAGGAGGATCGCTGAACTCAGAAATTTGAGGTTGCACAGAGCTGTGATGATGCCACTGCACTCTAGCTCAGGAACAGAGCAAGACCCTGTTTCACAGAAAACAAAAACAAAACAAAACAAATACATCTGATTCTGTAGTTTGAGGTAGGACCTGAGATTCTGCATTTCTGCCAAGCTCCCATGTGCTTCTGCTCTATTCCTTGGACAAAAATGAGTAGCAAGTATCTACATGACCTACAGGAAACAAAGATCTAAATTCTGTCATTTTAGGCTGAATGTTCCTGCCTTTTCTCCCTTTGGCCCCAAAACAGGTATAGGTTAGTGATTCTGATATTGGTCCTCTACAAATACAAGCTTTATATACAAGAAGGGTGAAACAAGGCAGAGTTGAAAGATTCATAAATTGAATTAGTAGCAGTAACTTTCAGTTTTGCCATTAAATTTTCTTAGTCTTTTATTTTCTATATTGTAGGAGTTGAAAGTGTGAAATTGTTTTTTATTCCAAGTTTAGATTCATTCTCTAGCAGAAGAAATAGAATATTTTATTTGAAAGTGTTGTTTTATAGCTCTTCTCTTTAATTTACCTGCAGGCATTGATCAATATGACAGAGATAGCATCATAAATGACTTTAAGAATGGGACTTGTAAACTTCTTGTGGCCACCTCTGTTGCTGCCCGAGGTCTAGATGTGAAACATCTGATTCTTGTAGTAAATTATAGCTGCCCCAATCATTATGAGGATTATGTGCACAGAGCAGGACGGACTGGAAGAGCAGGCAACAAGGTAAAAAGAATTTTTTATAGTGGATTTCTGTTATATTAAAATATAGGTGTTTCTTTGTAATTTTATGTAGTAGATAATAGGAGTTATGTGGACATTTTGAAAATCCATAATCAGCAGGGGTGATTTCTTGATGTTAATGATTGATGTTAATAATTTATATACATATACATGTCTAAGAACTGTTAAAATTACCAGATATCTATCTGCTCTTTATAGGCAGATACTGTTGACAGTTTGTGTCCCTTTTGGTTCCCATCCCTCCAAAGCTTAAAAATTTCTATACAGATGCTCCTTGAGTTATAGTGGGGTTACATCCTGATAAAACCATCATAAGTTAAAAATATATCCTAAGTTGGAAATGCATTTAATACACCTGAACATCATAGCTTAGTCTAACCTGCCTTCAGCATGCTTAGAACACTTACTAGCCTACAGTTGGGCATAATTATATAACACAAAGCCTATTTTATACTAAAGTGTTGAATATCTCACGTATTTATTGAATACTGGAAGTGAAACACAGAATGTATGGGTATACAAAGTATGATTTCTACTAAATGCGTATTGCTTTTGCACCATCATAAAGTTTATGTGGTTCATGATCTTTCATTCCTTTTTTTTTTTGAGACGGAGTCTCACTTTGTTGCCCAGGCTAGAGTGAGTGCCGAGGCATCAGCACAGCTCACAGCAACCTCAATCTCCTAGGCTTAAGCGATCCTCCTGCCAAAGCCTCCCGAGTAGCTGGGACCACAGGCATGCGCCACCATGCCCGGCTAATTTTTTGTATATATATTTTTAGTTGGTTGATTAGTTTCTTTCGATTTTTTTAGTAGAGACAGGGTCTCGCTCAGGCTGGTTTTGAACTCCTGACCTCAAGCAATCCGCCCGCCTCGGCCTCCCAGAGTGCTAGGATTACAGGCGTAAGCCACCACGCCCAGCCTTACTTTTTTTTTTTTTAATTTTAGCAAGTCCTGTCACTACAGAATGTCATTGCTTTTTTAATAATAAAAACATGGGATTATAAAGTATACCTACTGGCTAGGCCCAGGGGCTCATACCTATAATCCTAGCACTCTGGGAGGCTGAGGCTGGAGGATCGCTTGAGGTCAGTGGTTCGAGACCAGCCTGAGCAAGAGCAAGACCCTGTCTCTACAAAAAATACAAAAATTAGCCAGGTGTGGTAGTGTGCACCTGTAGTCCCAGCTACTCAGGAGGATCACTTGGGCCCAGGAGTTTGAGATTGCAGTGAGCTATAGTGACGCCACTGCACTCTAGCTGGGGTGACAGAGTGAGACTGTCTCCAAAAAAAAAATTAATTTGTGTATATAATCAGACATTTTACATATACATATATTTATATGTATAGTCCATATATGTACACATATATTTTTATATTTTATTGGTCTTAAAGAAAATACCGAAAGTTGTATCCTAGGAAGTTAATATGAGTGAGAGTGGTGTAGTAGGCAGCAAAGGATGGGGATACAAACAAAAAAGAGAAAAATAAAATACTATATTAAAGAAAACTAGATATAATACAATTGTGCATTTAAATGGCATATATTTCTGCTTATACATAAATTAGAAATTTCGGGGGGTTCTCTGTTGTTGGTTTTTTTGTTTTTTTCTTGAAAGAGGGTCTCGCTTTGTTGCCTGGGCTTGAGTGCTGTGCTATAATCATAGCTCACTGCAGCCTCCAAATCCTGTGCTTAAGTTATCCTCCTGATTCAGTCTTTTGAATTGCTGGGACTACAGGTGTGTACCACCACTCCTGGCTGATTTAAAAATTTTTTTTATTTAGATGAGGGTATGGCTCAGGCTGGTCTCTAACTCCTGGCCTCAAGTGATCCTCCTGTCTTGACCTCCCAGAGGGGTGGGTTTATAGGCATGAGCCACTGAACCTGGCCTAAATTAGAAATTTTCTAGTTTTGCTTATTTTAATTTTAAATATTAAACCTGGATATTTCACTTTGAACTATTAAAGAATTTAGTAGGGAGTCTTTTGTTGCCTTTAAAATTGTTTAGTAATCGTAGCATTCTCATGAAGATGTATTAGGTAGTTCAGATTTCATCTTACCTGTGATCTAAGTAGGATTCATCTTGTTAATTTCTAATAATTCTATTTTTTTCATCATTTGTTAGGGTTATGCCTACACTTTTATCACAGAAGATCAAGCTCGCTATGCTGGCGACATAATTAAAGCTCTTGAATTGTCAGGGACTGCAGTGCCTCCTGATTTAGAGAAACTTTGGAGTGATTTCAAAGATCAACAGAAAGCTGTGAGTGTTACTCTTGTGCAAATCATTAATATGTTCTGAAGCTTAAATATTTAATACTTGGAAATCCTTTTTGTTAATATTTCGGAATTTTAATAGGACTGTTTTCATTTGTCTCTTTAGAGAGGGGAACAAAGAGTGAAAATCTGATCTTTTGCATAAACTTACTATTTTGTGATATCTATGTAGAACTCTTATTTTTTCTTACAAAACAGATGAATTGTTTTTGTTACATTGGCATAAACTACCTGTAAAAATATTTAATTGCTATAAATTTCCTAAACATAAAGTTTTTACTATGAGATTATTAACATTTTTGTTTTGTTTTGCTTTGTTTTTTTGAAAGGAGGGGAAAATAATTAAAAAGAGTAGTGGGTTCTCTGGTAAGGGATTCAAGTTTGATGAAACAGAGCAAGCTTTGGCTAATGAGAGGAAGAAGTTACAAAAAGCGGCTCTTGGTCTGCAAGATTCAGATGATGAAGATGCTGCAGTAGATGTAAGTATTGTTCCAAGCTTCATTTTTGCCAATTGCAGCAATTATTCCTTTTGTTTCGGAGGTCTTATTGAACCTTCTTAGGGTGTACTCTTCTCAACCTTTTTCTGTGTGTGTGTTTACATGCACATGTATCTATGGATTTTCATTAAAATGGGATCATACTCCTTTATAATCTTCTTTACACAAAAAGTATATGGAATTCTTTCCATTTTAGTAAATTTGCTCTTAAATTATTCTTGATGGTCTATATAATATATTGATGTTTTACAGTTGAATGAATGACACTCCTTTATTTTTTATTATGAATTGTTTCCATATAGTCACTATTTGGACCATACTTTACTGTTATAAACTATACTTCATTGCACATCCTTGCACATTTTATTTTGTACACTCAGCAGAACAAGTTTTGTGGATGAGTTTATAAGTGGGATTGTTAGACCAAAGGGTATATCTGATTTGGCCTTATACCTTGTCAGATTATCCTCCATTAAGGGAGTACCAATTTGCACTCACTGGATGGTGTGAGAGTTCCTGGTTTGCCATACCTTTAACAAATTGGAACTAATACCATTTTTTTTAATTTGATAATTATAGAATATCTCTATTAATAATAATTGTCAACATTTATTGAGTACTACTAAGTGTCACACACTGTGCCAAATACTTTACAGGGATATTTTATTTACCTCCTCACAATAGCCATACAAAGTAGATGCTCAGGGTGTTCCTATTTTATAACAGAGTATATTGACACTTAGATAGAAATGATAAGCTATTCGAGATTACACAACTATTATGAAGAAGAGCCAGCACTAGTACCCAGTATATTCTTATCAAGGCCCATGTTCTTAGCTTATGGCTTTATCTATGACCTTGAGAGCTTAGCAATTTAAGGGTTTCATAGAGTCTAGTCTTTGGAACCCTAATGACAGGATCTTGAGAAGAAGCTCTTTCCATAATAGTTTTGGAAAATCTAATATATACCAGTACCCCCATCTTGATACATAGAACACACATTTGGAACCCTAATGACAGGATCTTGAGAAGAAGGTCTTTCCATAATAGTTTTGGAAAATCTAATATATACCAGTACCCCCATCTTGATACATAGAACACACATTATCACATCAAGGATATGCAAAGTTAACTTTGCTTAACCCAGAAATTCCCTAACATATTTGATCCTACAATACTTTTTTTGGCATGTCATTTTAAACTTTAGCTCAAAACAATGTTGGAAATCAGGAATTCAGTCTGTTTCTGTCATGAAGGAAATTGAGGCCAAGAAAAAGTGTTTGATTCGGGACCACGCTGAGAGTTAAGCACAGACGAGACCAGAACCCAGGTCTCCTATTAACTATAGGCCATTTTGAGGCCATATTGGCTCAAAATTCATTAAAGTCATTGTTTCAGGGATCTGTTACTATGTAACAAATTAAAACTTAATCAGGTTAAAGCAAAACATTTATCATGTTTCCCTGAGGTTCAAGATATTAGGAGCAGTTCAGTCAGGTAGTTCTTGCTTAGGGTGCTATGAGGTTGTAGTCAAGCTGCTGGCCCAGGTTGTAGCCATCTAAGGGCAAGACTGAAGCTAGATGATCTGCTCCGAAGATGGCTCATTCACTTCAGTGTTTACAGGATTCCTCAATTCTTCACTCTGCCTGTGTGCCCTCGCTGCATGGCAGCTGGCTTCCTCCAGAGCATGTGATCTGAGAGAGAGAGCAAAGAGGAAGCGGGTAGTGCTTTTCATGACTAGTCTCTGAAGTTGCACACTGTCAATTCTACTTTATTCTATTAGAAGCAAGTCACTAAGTCTAGCCTACACCCAAGAGGAGGCTCTTCCTCTTGAAGAGAAGAGTATTAAATAATTAAAAGCCACCTCTGTCTTTTTTTTTAATATATTATAATAGTTTCCCCTTATCTACAATTTTGCTTTCTGCAGTTTCAATTATTAGTGGTCAACTGCAGTCTGAAAATATTACAGTATTTTGAGAGAGAGACCATATTCATATAACTTTTATTATAGCATATTGGTATAATTGTTCTATTTTATTAGTTATTGTTAGTCTCTTACTATGCCTAATTTATAAGTTAAATTTTATCATAGGTATGTATATATAAGAAAAACAGTATATATAGGATAATATATACAGGGTATGGTACTATCTGAGGTTTCAGTCATCCACTGGAGGACTTAGAACATATCCCCTGCAGAGAAGGGAGGACTACAATACTTTTCACAATTTTTAAACATCTCATGATGAAATATGTGGATTGTTTGTTTGTTAAAGTAATATATAATTTTTATAAAAAATTTGAACAATACTTAATGAAGTCGAAAGTAAACTATAACTAGCACTGCACACATTCCTCATTCCTGATTTTATGTATTTCTTTAGATTTTAATACAGTGCATGCTGTTTAATTTAAAAGTTCTACTCAGCTAAATGTTGAGTTTAAAACTAGTTGATAACCAAAACTCCTTAATAGGTAATGAATGCTTTGAATAGAAGCTAAGTTGGCTGTTTTTATTTCAGTAAAAGGGCTTCCTAAATTAACTACTTCTTAAACCCTGAACAAGCTTTTCTCTGCATTTGAGATTTAGAAGATAAAGCATTATTTACCTAAACTGAATTTATGAAGAAGTTTGTTTCTCTTTAGTCAGTGCTATTAGTAGTTATTGTTGGGCAAAAGGCATTTTTAAAAAGAAGTGCAGACAGCAGTAGGGCACATGTGACTCCTAGAGAACTGGGGCTTTTATTGTTGCTCTTGCCTCGGCAGGAAAGCCAACCTTCATTTCTTTACTTTCTCGATTCAAAGGAATAAGGCAAGAAGCGTTTTCTGATTATGCTACTCTATTTTTAAGGCAAATCCTATTATTGCATTTTACGAGTTGGGAAGAGTTTTGGGGGCCCTGCCTTAGGAACATGTTGTACTCCTCCTGAGAATTATTGACTGTATTTTTAATTGTCCACTGGCATTGAGTTATAGCACTTCTTCCAGCCTCTTTCACTGCAGTGTAATTTGGCCTCAAGGCCTGAGCCCTGGAGTAACTCAGCTGCATCATATTGGCTCTTCTGTCTTGACAGCAAATGTTTCCTCATTTACTGAACTGGGATGTATTTTCTGGACCTCTCTGGAGTATGATTAAGTGTTCATGCTGCATTGTATCTCTGTGCTCTGTTTTTTTGTTCACCATAAACTGATTTTTGAAATGAAATGTGTTACCTTTAACAAACAGGTGGTATATATTTCTATTGATCTGTTTAGTGGAATTTACATAAATGTAACTGATTCTAGTCTTTGGTGGAAACATTCCTTAGTTTCTGTAGATATGCCTAATTTGGTATTTCTAATCCAGTTTTTACAAATCCTTTTTTTTTTTTTACCCTTGGTCTAGATTGATGAACAAATTGAAAGCATGTTTAATTCAAAGAAGAGAGTAAAGGATATGGCTGCTCCTGGAACATCAAGTGTCCCTGCTCCAACTGCAGGAAATGCTGAGAAATTAGAAATTGCTAAGAGATTGGCTCTTAGGATCAATGCGCAGAAGAATTTAGGCATTGAATCTCAGGTATTAAGTAATTTATTCCAAGTCTCAGTATGTGTTTTTGTTTTGTTTTTCTTTTTTTTGAAATAGATCTCGTTTTGTCACCCAAGCTGGAGTGCAGTGGTACAATCATAGCTCACTACAGTCCCAAACTCCTGAGCTCAAGCAACCTCCTGCCTCAGCCTCTTGAGTAGCTGGGACTACAGGTGTATACCACTGTGCCCAGCTAATTTTTTAAAAAATATTTTATAGGGGTGAGGTCTTTTTGCATTGCCCAGGTTGGTCTTGAACTTATGACCTCAAGCAATCCTCCTGCCTATGCCTTGGCCTCCCAAAGTACTGGGATTACAGGCATGAGCCACCATACCTGGCCTCAGTCAATACTTTTTATAAATTCTTTAATTTTAAATACTTTTCAGGAATTATGTTGAGCACAAGTGAACAACAAATTGTCTTAGATGTTGAGTTTGTGAGAAATTAGCATTCTCGGTTCATAATTACATTTGGATAATCTCCCTAGTGTAGTTAAATAAGGTCTTTATGCCTACATTAGAATGTCCATTAGGCTTGTTAGCCATAGATAGTTTTATTTAATTAATTTTTTTTTTTTAAAGAGACAAGATCTCACTCAGCTGCCCATGCTGGAATGTAATGGTACAATCATAGCTCACTACCTTAAACTTTTGGGCTCAGATGATCCTCCTGCCTCAGCTTCCCCAGTAGCCAGGACTACAGGTGTACACCATATCCAGTTAATTTTTAAATTTTTTGTTTTTGAACTCTTACCCTCAAGTAATTCTCTTGTCTTAGCCTCCCAAAGTACTGGGATTAAAGGCATGAACCACCATGCTGAACTGATAGTTTATGGAATAGTATTCTGATTGGTCTTACCAAAATCTTTAAGAAGTACTTCTCTTTTTCTTTCTTTATCTGCATGTTTATTGGATGGGTTATTGGGCACATAATTCTCTGGATATACAAACACCCAGTCATGTCACTCAAACTAACATGGAGTTTAAATAATGGAGAAATATGATTTTGAAATATTTCACAGGGCATCGTTTTCTTGGAAGCTTTTTTGTTAATTTCTAAGTAAGGATAAATTTCCATAGCCTTCCCAAGAATGGTTTGTTAATTTCAATAGTAATTTGAAGATTTTGAGTAAGTCATTTATTATAATTTGTTGAATGTTGGGTTGGGTCATGGAGGAGGAGGAGCTTAATGATGATAGTGGTACAATGATTTTAATTCAGAGTAAACTCCTAGGAGTCACAAAGTATCTAAATGATTTTGGAAAGATTTACTATATCTGGTATTAAGAATTAGCTAATTGCCGGGCGTGGTGGCTCACGCCTGTAATCCTAGCTCTCTGGGAGGCCGAGGCGGGCGGATTGCTCAAGGTCAGGAGTTCAAAACCAGCCTGAGCAAGAGCGAGACCCCGTCTCTACTATAAATAGAAAGAAATTAATTGGCCAACTGATATGTATATAAAAAAAAAAATTAGCCGGGCATGGTGGCGCATGCCTATAGTCCCAGCTACCCGGGAGGCTGAGGCAGAAGGATCGCTCGAGCCCAGGAGTTTGAGGTTGCTGTGAGCTAGCCTGACGCCACGGCACTCACTCTAGCCTGGACAACAAAGCGAGACTCTGTCTAAAAAAAAAAAAAAAAAAAAAAAAATTAGCTAATTATCAAGTGCTTATCTGTGATCTAGTAGAATATTTAATAGTGTGTTAAATGTTCCTCTCTTTCCTCATCAATAGGGAGATACATTAAACTATAATTTTTAATATATACTGCTAAATTGCACATATGGGTGGGACTCTGCACACGAAAGATATTTATTCATTTATTTATTTGTTAAACATACATAAATACAGAGTTAGAGGCTTTTCAGAGAACAGTTCGTGGTAGGGTCCGTGTACCTGTCTCTGCGCTCGTTTGAGATTTGACTGTTGGTCTTCTTTAACTGCAGGATGTGATGCAACAGGCCACCAATGCAATTCTCAGAGGTGGCACCATTCTGGCTCCCACTGTGTCTGCTAAAACCATTGCAGAGCAGCTTGCTGAAAAGATCAATGCCAAGCTCAATTATGTGCCTTTGGAGAAACAAGAAGAAGAGAGACAGGATGGAGGACAGAATGAATCCTTTAAGAGATACGAGGAAGAATTAGAGATCAATGATTTCCCACAGGCAAGTAATAGATTTGAACCTTTTTTTATTGTGAAGTAGAAATTTTTGCTTCTTTAGGAGTAAAATCTTACCTTCAAAACCCATGAACATTTTAATAGTTTGCTTTTAACCTAAGCAATAGACAATAGAGCAATAGAAATTTGATTTTTATGAATAAGTTCAAGGTACATTAGGATCTAAATGAACTTATGGTGTAGGTATTTGTTAATTATCTTCATATTGCCCATGATATCAGCCAACCTATTCTTTGTCAGCACAGTGGGGTTTTTTATGCTGTTGTGATGTGATATTTTTCTCCCCACCCTCTCTTTTAGACTGCCAGGTGGAAAGTTACTTCTAAGGAAGCTCTGCAGAGAATCAGTGAATACTCTGAAGCTGCAATTACAATCAGAGGAACGTATTTCCCTCCTGGCAAAGAACCCAAGGAAGGAGAGCGGAAAATTTACTTGGCAATTGAAAGTATGTACTATTGGTTCTGTTTCAGGCTTAAGTTGGATCAAGGGTGATGTAGATGTAATAGATGCAGAGAGAATGGGAGATCAATCCTAGAGAGGACTGAAAGTAAAGAACACCTATAAGAAAAAAATAGTTTCCTATATCATGTGAAGTCTGTCTTTAGAAGTTCAGTACAGGTACAAGGTAAATGATCTGTTTATGGGACTCTTCAGTTTGGACAATTCAATCAAAATAAAAATCATTCTGAAAAGTGTACATTTTAAGGACTGACCCATTTATGCTTCTATTAAAGTAGAATATTCTGCCTTAAGTTTAGGTCCATATGTACCATTGTGTATATGTTGGTATATTTGATGCTGTCCATCAGGTCTCTTAGGCTCTATTCATTTTACTTCATTCCTTTTTTTTTCTGCCCTCTCAAAATTTGATCTCCATTAACCTATCTTCAAGTTTGGTGATTCTTTTTTTTTCTCGTTTTGAGATGAGGTCTTGCTATGTTGCCTAGGCTGGTCTTGAACTCATTGCCTCTAGTAATCCTCCTGCCTCAGCCTTCTGAGTAGCTGGGACTACATGCACAAGCCTCCACCTTCAGTCAAATTCAGTGATTCTTTCTTTTGCCTGTTCAAATCTGCTATTGAACCTCTCTCTTTTTTTTTTTTGATGGTTTTTTAACTTTATTTGATATATTTGGCAATCAGTGGTTAGTTTTCATCCACGTTGACTGTCTGTAGATTTTTGAAAATGGTAACAGGTACATAGGTAACCAAAGTATAGAGCTTGTTTGGTGAATCTTCATCCTCATTACGTTTTCTAGACAACTGCACACGAATCCTGTTTGGGACATTCCTTATTCCTTTGGCCCAGACAGCTTTGTTGAGCCTGGTACCAATGCACACATCTGGAGTTCCCATCTCCTTCATGGCAAATTTCTGGATCTCTTTGAGTGCCTGAGGGGCACTCTTCTTGAAGCCCACTCCATGGATGCGCTTGTGAATGTTGATGATGTATTCTCGGGTCACCACTTCGTTGATAGCAGAACGGCCCTTCTTCTTGTCACTCTTCTTTGCAGGAGCCATTCTGCCGGGCCCAAGTCAGAAAGCTGAACCTCTCATGTATTTTTATTTCAGTTATATTACTTTTCAACTCCAAAATTTCTATGTGGTTCCTTTATTTCTAGTTCTTTATTGAGATACTCCTTTTAGTCTGACATCATTTTCCTGGTTTCCTTTAGTTATTTGTCCATTGTTTCTTTTAGCTCTTTGAGCATATTTATCTATTTATTTTTTATTAATCAGATTTCAGGAAAAGAAGAGCATATTTAAAATATTTGATTTTAAGGTCTTTGTCTAATAAGTCCAATGTCTGGGTTTCCTCAGAGACAGTTTCTGTTAACTTCTTTTTTTCTTTTTTTCCTGTAATTGGGTCATGCTTTCTTTGTTTCTTTGCATGTTTCTTAATTTTTAGTTATAAGCTAGACATTTTGGAAGGCAGCGATGCTCACCAGTATGCCACCAATGCCGACATAAAACTGGACATTTTGAATATTGTAATGTGGTAACTAGAAATCTGATACTCCCCATTATTTATTACTGCTGCTTGTTGTAGTTGTTTGTTTAGTGACTTTTCTGAACTAATTTTGTACAGTCTGTATTATTTGTCATGTGTGGCTACTGAAGTCATATAGTGATTTTTTTTTTTTTTAATTTCATAATATTAAGAGGCTACACATATTTTTGTTACATGGCTACCTTGTATAAGGCTGAAGTCAGGGCTCAGATAGTGATTTGACAGAGATTTCCTTAAATGCCTAGGAAGGAAAAAATCTTCTGTTCTTGGTAGACGTGTTCTCTCTGTGCATTAGGGCAAGCCTTCAATTCTCAGCCAGGCAGTAAAACTCTGCCTTAGCTTTTGCTTTATGCTTGCTTAGTCTGAAGGTCAGCCAGAGGTGATGTGAGCTTATGGCCTTCTCAGGTCTTTTCTGAGCACGTGCCCAGCCCTGGATGTGCACATGACCTTCTAGATTCCCATGAATGTGTGAGGGCTTTACAGAGATCTTGTTCCCCAGAGCATTTCATTCCCCAGCCTTTCCTCTAAGCCCTTTATTGTCTTTTGTCTTAGCTGTTATCCCTTGTCCTGAAGGGTAGTGTCTAATGTATTTGCATTTTGGTAAATATACCTACCCCATTAACTGGGCTTGAGCCATCCTCCTGCCAGCCTCCTGGGTAACTGAGACTATAGGTGCGCCACCACTCCCAGCTAATTTTTCTGTTTTTTGTAGAGATGGTGCTCCTGCTCAGGGTGGTCTAAAACTCCTGGCCTCAAGTGATCCATCTCAGCCTCCCAAAGTGCTGAGATTACAGGTGTGAGCCACCACGCCTAGCCTGGTTTTTTCTTTTTCTTGAGTGTTTGCCTGGTTGCTGTAAACTTTTGATTAGTTTCCAGAGTTCAAATAAAGTTGATTCTGACAAGTTTTGCAAGCTTATTACCCCCTTCTGTGGAGGGACAGGCTTTTGCATTTCTGTGGTCTGCCATTTTTGCTGATGTCCCTGTCACTATTAGACTTTTTGTTGTCTTTTTTTTTTTTTTTTCTGAGACAGAGTCTCACTTTGTTGCCCAGGCTTGAGTGCTGTGGCGTCAGCCTAGCTCACAGCAACCTCAAACTCCTGGGCTCAAGCGATCCTGCTGCCTCAGCCTCCCAAGTAGCTGGGACTACAGGCATGTGCCACCAAGCCTGGCTAATTTTTTCTATATATATTAGTTGGCCAATTAATTTCTATTTATAGTAGAGACAGGGTCTCTCTCTTGCTTAGGCTGGTTTGAATTCCTGGCCTCGAGCGATCCACCTGCCTCAGCCTCCCAGAGTGCTAGGATTACAGGTGTGAACCACCACGCCCAACTATTAGACTTTTTGAATTAATGATGAATTGTGGCAAAGGGGAAACTTAAGTGCAGCCTTTATGTTTACCATGTTTTCACCACTCTGCCATTTCAGTAAGTTTCATAATACTTTTAAGTGGTGTACAAAAGATATGGGTCCAGAACTAGGCAGATTGCATTTTTTAGTTCATGTTTGTGATTATGAGAAACTGATTTGTATCTATTTCAAGTAAGGTTTTAGAATGACATCCTTTCATGTATCCTGAAGGACTTTTGGTCTGCCAGTGTGTTTCTAAATTATGTGAGATTTTTCCTTATTACATGGCAAAATGGGACTTGCTGACACCTGGGTCTTCAAGCAGCAAAGATTAACATGACATCTTTTTGTACTTGGAACTGGGCAAATCTTTGCTGCTGTGTTCATTAGGCTATACAGGATGTAGACACAGTGATATTTAGAGGAATCAGATGATAAAAACTTTGGTATACATGGAATCAAACTTTTATTTTCTGCTTGAATGTAATAGGTGTCATAAGCAAAACCAATATTTTAAATTCCTGCCTTATAAAGAGTCATAATTATTTAACAGAGACATAATTATTTGCTTTGAAAAAGTTTCTTTTTTGTAATTCATTAATTAGTTTAAAGATAGTTATGTTTGTTTGGTATGATATAATTAACATCAAAGTTCAGTTTACATATCAGAACACATCTCCTATAATATAAGGTGACATGAGTAAGATATTCACTATATACAGTCCCCAGCTTCTGTTTGCTTTTCCTTCCACATAGGATGGTTCTGGTTACTTCTTCCCACTGTCAACTTGCATTCAGGAAATACTATCTAATTTTTATAATAATCTAAGCAAGTGTTTTACCCCTATTAAAAAGACAACCTTGTCGGAAACAAATCTTAAAAATATTCTAGAAACATAATGATAGTGAATAAGAGCTGGGTATTGGTAATTTAATTGATCTAAAGCTTTTAGAATTTTCAGAGGTAATTAGACTTTTAAAAGGGTCATTTACTTTTTGAAACTTTAACCAAACTCAACTAAACAGTAACAGGATGAAAACAGGTGTTGCTAGCATGGAAGGAGCATAGTGTCATCTGTTTCTAGTTCTGTAATTGGAGAGACCCCACTGCCTGGCTGGCTCCTTGGAGGCTCTATTTGGCTCAGCAGCTCCAGGCCTCCCACCAGGCAAAGGGAAGGAGAACAGGAAGGACTTACGTGCCTAGTCAGCCTGTATAATTTATATAGCCTGTTCTGTGACCCTCTCTTTTTACTAGTGGAGAATCCCTTAAAAGCAGCCAGAGTTGTTTTTGGACCAGTGAAAGGAAATGCCTTTTTTTCATGGCTACTTATAAACATATGTAACCTATTACCTAAAGAAGTTACATAAGTCAGAATTTAAACTGGTCCAAATGGTCAGGCTCTAACTAAAGTAGGAAAATTATTCTTCTACTTGGATCTAGGTGAGAGTGTCATTTTCCTTCTTTTAAAAATAGCACATAGAAAAAAATTACAAAAGAAAAAGTAACAAGCTTCACACCAATTCATGCCAAGTGATATATTTTTTTTTTCCTGAATTTCATTTTCATTGTAATTTTCAGTCTGACTTTGCTCTTGATTCTACCCTTTAGCCTTCCCCTCCAGTACCCACCTTCCCCACACAGCTTTAAAATGTGTGGTTAGTGGCTGGTGGAGGTATAGGACTAAATTAGATAGGTTGCAATGATTTCACAGTCATGCACTTGACCCTTTCCTTCCTGTTAAACCGTTTCTACCTCCCTCTCCTTCTTTCCTCTTCTCTCAGCTCCCCTAACCTCTGGTCAGAATGGTTGTTCATTTCTAATAAGGGAGAAAAATTTCTTCCTTGTGAATTCTTTTCGTTTTTTTGTGTGTAGAAACAAAAGTCTTGCTATTGCCTAGGCTGGTCTTGAACTCCTGGGCTCAGGTGATCCTCTTGCCTTGACCTCCCAAAGTGCTAAGATTACAGGCTGAGTCTCAACGACTAGCCAGTATATTCTTTATTACTTCTAACTTTCTTTACTTGCTAATCTACTCTGAGCATCTTACGTTGATGCTGTTCTTCACTGTTCACATCCTGTCAAAAAAACCATCTTGTCCATTCTACCTCAAAAATGTGCTGTCATGGTGAACGTGAACACAATACTGTGAGAGTACTGAGGAAAAAACCACTTAACTCTGCTTGGAGAAGTCAGGGAAAGTGTTAAAGTGATATTTAAAAGTTACTCTGGGCTGTAGGCAGTGGCTTATGCCTGTAATCTTAGCACATTGGGAGGCCAAGGCAGGAGGATTGTTTTAGGCCAGGAGTTTGAGACCAGCCTGAGCAAAATAGCAAGACCCGTCTATACCAAAAAATAGAAAAATTAGGCAGGCATAGTGGTGTACACCTGTAATGTAGGAGTATCGCTTGAGCTTAGAAGTTTGAGATCACATGAGTTATGATGACATCACTGCACTGTAGCCTGGGCAACAGAGTGAGACCCTGTCTCAAAAAAAAAAAAAAGTTATTCAGGTAAACTACTTCCTACTAATGCTGTCGTAATATCTTTATAAGTTTTCTAGTAGGCTACAACATTATAAAGAGCATAAATGAGGTCTTTGTATTTTAAATTTCTCACAGTATATCATACATGGTGAGGGCTTAATGTTTCTTGAATAATAGCTATAAATGTATGCTTCTAGCTCGCCTCATCTACAACTATCTTGCTATGTTCTTTCATACTCTTTTTTCCAACCACACTAAACTTCTCTTACTCTTTAATAATTAAGCATGCTTTTGTTAATTATGTACCATTGCACATGTGATTCCCTTTGCAAAATACTGTCCATGGCATCCCTCCTCTCTCCACTTGGTTAGTCCTCCTTTCATCTTTGAGACTGTTCAGATGACACCTTTCTGAAACATTTGCAGACTTCAGAGAACATAATAAATGTCCAGTAAATATTTGTTAAATGAATAAACCAAGGAAATCATATTTCTCTTTAAACTTTTCTTACTCTCTTCTGGACAAATTGCTAATCATCATCTTTTCACTCTTTCTAATCAACATACCAGTAACTCTTAATACTACATGTATTGTGACCTCAGTGTTTACATTTGATACTCTAAAAGTAATAAAAATAATAGCAGCCATTATATAATGTGGGTGATTATCCACCAGACATTGAAAGGCTATCTTGGCAGTCAGTACAGTGTCCTAAAAGTCAACTACAGTATGTTCTCCTGGACCTCCGTGACATGTATAAGAATACAGTGCAATTCTAGTAAGATGAATAATATGCTTTCCACTCAATCACCAGGTGCCAATGAACTGGCTGTGCAGAAAGCAAAGGCAGAAATCACCAGGCTCATAAAAGAAGAACTGATCCGGCTGGTGAGTGAATACTTCAAGGGCTTATTTATTTTGTTTTAATGAGTGTTTTATTGAACTGTCTATAAATACAGACAAGTACACAGATCACATACAGCTTGGTGAATTTTCACAAAATTAGCACACTAATGTCATCTCTACTCAAACAAGAAATGACATTACTAACATCCTAGAAGCCTTCGCATACCTCTTGTTGTCATTATTCTCCTCCAAATGTAACCATATTGTGACTTTTAAATTCAGATCAGTTTTGCCTTTGCACTTATATATAAGTGGAATCATGTGCTATATACTTCCTTTTATATCTAGTTTTCTTCGCTCAATATTTTGAGGAGATCAACTTATGTTGTTGCATGTAGCAATAAGTTATTCATTTTTGTGGCCGTATAATATTTAATTATATGGATGTCTACAAATTAATTGATATATTAGACTTTGGGATTATTCTGGTTTTTGGTTTTTATGAAAAAAAACTGAAATTCTCTCTTGTCTCTTTGCCACACACTGGCATGCTTTTTTTCTTGGGTATACACCTTGGAGTAGAATTGCTAATTATAGGGTAAATATTGCTAAATAGTTTTCCAAAGGGTTTATATCAGTTTACACTCCCAGCAGTGTATGAAAATTCCAGTTCTCCATCTTTACCAACTCCCGGTGTTGTCAATATCTTTAAACTTAGTCAGTGACTTCTTAATTTGAGTTTGGAAAAAGCAGCCGTTTACAGACTGCCTTTCCAAAGGGAGCAGACACATCCCTGTGTCTTACTGCCAGTTTAAGCTTGTATACTCTCCGTACAGTGTGTATACTGGGATGAGGGCTCTTTGAAAAGAAATCATAACCTTTCTCTAAGAATGTGATTTTTGAGGACTTTTCTAAAATTCCCCTATAGAGCATCCTTTTGGGGGGATAAGTTTAAAGAAAAGCGGATACACAAACAGGAGGGAAGAAGTAAAATAACCTTTAAATCAAGTACTTAAGACTCTTTCACCAAGGAATGATGGAAAAACAACCTGTGCTTATAGATGCTACCACCATTCAGTTTATTCAGAACACATTTGTCAAGGAATAGTTGAGTGAACAAAGAAATGATGAATTATTAAAGTTACTTCCCCCAACGCAATAATACTAACTTTAAGTTTTAAATGCCTGTTTTATAAGTCAGTAAAGGAAATGATCTTAAATATTTATGCCCCTTTTTTTGCTTTTTCTGATTATGTATCTTTTATTTTCTATCATAGCAAAATTCATACCAACCAACAAATAAAGGAAGATACAAAGTCTTATAAACATCTGGGAAGAACTTTTCACCTGTTCTGGTCTGTGATACATGTGGTAATTGTTGTCTGCAGTTAAATGCGTTGTAAATTAAGATTTTTAAAATTCTATCTTGCTGATTTTTTAAATATAAAAACAAGTATTTGCTAAAGAAGTCTTCAGTCAGTAAGTACCCCTACAATTAATCAAACTATATTTAAAACAGGTCTGTTTTCAGATTATGATGTCCTTTAATGTAAAACTTAAATATCAATATTTTGAATATCTGGATAATATTCTAGAGGTTTAAAAATGGAAATATTTGGACTTTCTATTAAAGGTAATAAAGTACACAAGTTGCTAAGGGGCTATTTACTTTATCCTGTACTTTCAATGAAATTGTGATCATTTCCTGGGAAAGGTAAAATTCACTGTCATATTTTATATACCCCCCCCCTTGAGCTTAAATGTTACTTGATTCAGTGGAACAACATGAACCAGATTTAAGAATTTTGTAATAGAAGTTTTACAAAATAGGTTCAGAGTTTTTCTTTCAATTTTTATCATCGTCATAGGCAAAAAGTAGTTGGACTACTTTTGGTTTTTGTAAAATTAAAGATTTATAGTATAAGGACTTTTTGTATTTCTTTACACTGAGTATAAAACTCTACAAATAGTTTATTGTTTATTACTATTAGGATCCCTTTGCATCTTCTGGCTCTATGCCTAGCTACTGATTCTTTTTAAACCTTCTTTAAAAGAAAGTGATTATAGCCTATAAATATTAAATATGATTCCTTTTCCCTTCTGTAAGTGTTTATACATCTCTACATGTAGTATGTACAAATACCCTACTATTTTTAATCTGATTTTTCTTCAGGATCATTGACTAAGTTGTGAGTTTTCTTTCTTCAAATTTTTAAAACATAAGGGTACCTAAGTTTTAGATTTAGACTTCAGCATCTCTCAGTGAAATTTAGTTCACAAGGAATCATAAATTATATTTTTCAACCCTTAAGGTATAGTTCCTGAATATCCTAATTTAAATTGTTAAAATTGGATTACCTCATATTCTTTTCAAGGCTCCTGGTGGATTTCAACTTCATATTATTGTCACTTTTTCAAAAAAGAACTTTTTTGGGAATTTATTAAATAGATACAATCAATGCTTTATACCCACAGGTTCCACAAAGATTAAGCCAACCACGCATCAAAAATATTCAGAAAGTTAATACAATAATAAAAAATCACATACATTTAAAAAAATACACTTAATAACTATTTACATAGCATTTACATTGTATTAGGTATTATAAGAAATCTAGAGATGATTTAATGTATACAGGAGGATATGCATAGGTTAAATGCAAGTACTAAGCCATTTTATATCGTAAGGGACTTTAACATCCATGGATTTTGGTATCCACAGCGGAGATAGGGTGTGCTGGGAGGTTGTCTTGGAACCAGTCCCCCATGGACAGCAAAGGACAAATGTGTATTTCATATTTATTAAATTAAGAGACATAAAAGTTCTTTAAATATTCTTGACTTACAGTTTTTTTTAAAAAATCAAAGCATACTGCAGTTGTTGAAATCATTTTAATAGTACATTCAGTAGCTAAAGTGATAGGGAGTATCAAACATTTCTTCAACATAAAGTTATCCTTACTGAAAAAGTAAGATATAACTGAGAAATATCCTTGGATCCCTCACACATCCACTTAGATTCTTGAAGAAAGAAAACAGATACAACGCATTTAAAAGAAACAAACATTTACTCTAAAATTCCAGGCATGATGGGCTCCTTTTTCTTCTTCAGTTTATTTATTTGCTTATCTTTATCACCCAGTAGTAGTTTATTTCCTTTGATAGACTGTATGGCAGTCCCACATTGGTGACAATTGGTGCTCTCTTCAGCCAACTGGATCACTTTGAGATTCAGAGTTATATATCATTTTCTTTATGTTTGTATATCTAGTTGTGATGAGGCACTGATAGTATTTTGTTCCAAAATAAAACATATTACTGTTAGTACATTTTTTAGTGTCATACTGATTTTAAAATTTGAATGATGTACAGACTGTTTTTTTTAATGAAATATGAATATTCGCTCATGTTTTCTAAATTCCTTATAAAATAAAATTAATTCGATCTACATTTTTCTAAAATTATCTTTCCTCAAATGCTTTCTCTTCTGTTTCTGTAATTTTGTTTATATTGGTAGATAGGCTCCCAGCTACTCAGGAACTTGAGGTGCTGGGATCCCTTGAGGCCAGGTGTTCAAGGCTGTAGTGTCCTATGATAGTGGCTGTGAATAGCCACTGCACTTCAGTTTAGACAACATAGATAACATCTCTTTAAGAAAAAAAAGTAAGAGAAGTATTATTCTCTCTGTATCATTATTAAAAATTCTAGCAACTTATTATCCAAAATACCGTTCTATTCCAAAAATTTCTTCCTAAAAATGCCCCTTCATCTTTGATGTTCTTTGTATTTAGCATAAGATGAATATAGGTGAAATAATAGGTTCATTTGCCAGTTGGAGGTTTTACCACAATGGTACTCACTTCTACAAAGTAGAGATATAGAATAAAAGGATAATGGCTAAGTTCTCCTAACTCCTTTTAAACACTTTATGATTTGATACATTTCATCTCACTCGCCTTATTGGGGTGTGCGTGTGTGCATGTATGTGTAAGTAGGAGAGAGAGTGAGTGAATGTGTGTGGTGGGTTGGGCGTAGTTTTAACTTTTTATTTAGTTTAGATATAACCATCAGAAAACAAAATCTTACTGGATTAAGACATATAATTAACTTGGAGTATATCAGCTTCATTAAGTGGCACACCACTGAATGAAACATCTTCTCTACTCCTAGGCCAGCTCTTTGGAGCTAAAGGCGGCTGCATTTCCCTCTCTAGGAAAAGATTCCCTAATATGTTGGCAATTATGGATATTTGAAGGTCTTTTTTTTTTTTTCCCTGTATCAATTCATTATTTTTCTCAGGCAGAGATCCAAGTAGGAATGTGAAGAAAAGTATAAATGCATTCTTTACAAGATCGCCTTAGTATCAATATAACATTAAGATGGTTTCTCCTTCTTAATGCCTTGCGGCTTAGCTGGTATGTATGTGAGACCATACTGTCAAATCACATGACTGGTGAGGAATTTACTTTTGATTATTTTTCTTGACCTTGTTCTCTTCCAAATATGGCATCGGCTTATAGGAGTTCATGATTTTGGAACTCAAGCCTTTAAGAAGAAATTCTGACTTTCCGTTAACCCTGCTTTTTTTTTTTTAGGGACAAAAGTACGAAATAAAAAGGAAATTTTAACCCCTTTGGAGAATTGGAACTCAGCTGTATTCTCTCACATAGTAAGATTACTTTAAAAGCTAGAATTTCAGAAAAATTAGGAAAAACAAATTCTAACTATTTTTAATATATAGAAATACCTAGTGGCCCATGTTTTAAATATTAGTTTCTCTTTAGTTATACATGTTACAGAATAAAAGAAATGTGAGGATTCAGTTTGTAAAACATGTTCTTTCCACAGAAGAAGCTTTTCATTTGAACTTGGTAGTGGCTAGATTTTCAGCAGCCTGTCAATTCCAGGTACTTCTAGCAGCTGTGGGTGTTAAGGTGTCCTTGGCCTTTATCCCTGAATTCCAGACAGCTCCAAGGTGCCGTCTGGCCAGCCCAAGGATCCTTGAAGGCAGCATCGTGTCTCCATGCCTTTGCCTAAAAGAGTCTTCTGGGAGCTGAGACTCCCACAACTATACTGTGAACTTTTGAAAAGAGTTCCCCCTCCCAAACCCCTCAGATCAGCGCAGGGCCCAGTGTCTAACACAGGATTTGGAGAGCCTGGCAGAGGTGGATGCCTGGGAGCTTCAAAGAAAGTGTAAGTTCCTCTGTAATGTTTTACTGGTCTAGTGTTGCTATTAAAAGTGTGTCTGGGGTAGTAATGATTCTATGGTACACATTTAAGTTTGAGAACCACGGATAATCTTCACTATCTTTTGCTCTTGGATTTTTGACTGCCTGTGATCTAAAGTGGTCTCCAAAGTGGGTCACATGTGCAGTAATCCATTGAAAGCAAGAAGAAAATATTGAAGACTTGTACATGTTTATGAGGGGATATAAATAAATAAACAGAATATTGAAGCTTCTATTTGTTTTTCTTTTTAAATCTCAAACTTTCTTTTTAAAAATCTTTTTAAAAATTTTTCTTCCTTTTTGTAAATTCCCTGTGCAATAATCACCATCTCTTTAAGAGCTTATTATTTTGTCTAAATTTTTTATAATATGTTATAGTATTGGGATAACAGTTCATATATTTAATAATAAAATAAATTGACAAATATTTGGAGGGTACTTGGACAACCTTGGGTAAGTTGCTTAACTGTCTCCGTTTTTCCATATATATAATGAGAATGTGATAATACTTACGTCTTAGAGTTGTTGTGAGGATGAGGTAAAATAATACATTTAAAGCATAAATACATTTAGAGCATATAAAGATACTGCCTGGCATATGGTAAACATTTAAAAAATGTTTGCTGGTAGACCGCATGTTTGTGTCCCCATGAAAATTCATATGTTGAAACCTAAGCCTCAGTGTGATCACTTTGGGAGGTAGGGGCCTTTGGGGAGTGCTTAAGTCACGAGGGCTAATGGATTAGTGCCCTTACAAGAGAGACCCAAAGAACTCCCTTGCCCCTACTGCCACATGCAGACACAGCAAAAAGATTGTGAACCAGAAAGCGGGCTCTCACCAGACAGTGAATTGGCTGACCCCTTGACCTTGGGCTTTCCAGCCTACAGAACTGTGAAAAATAAATTTTTGGTTTTTGTAAGCCACCCAGTCTTTGCTATTTTGTTGTAGCAGACCAAATGAACTAAGACACTATCTTTCCATATAATATTGCTATAAATAATTTCTATATAAAGTCAACTGTTACTGATAAGTTAAAATCTAGAAAGTGATATTCATTCTTTTTTTTTTTTTTTTTTTAGACAGAGTCTCGCTTTGTTGCCCAGGCTAGAGTAAGTGCCGTGGCTGCAGCCTAGCTCACAGCAACCTCAAACTCCTGGGCTCAAGTGATCCTACTGCCTCAGCCTCCCGAGTAGCTGGGACTACAGGCATGCGCCGCCATGCCCGGCTAAGTATTTCTATATGTATTAGTTGGCCAATTGATTTCTTTCTATTTATGGTAGAGATGGGGTCTCGCTCTTGCTCAGGCTGGTTTTGAACTCCTGAACTCGAGCAATCCACCCACTTCAGCCTTCCAGAGTGCTAGGATTACAGGCGTGAGCCACTGCGCCCGGCCAGAGATTCATTCTTTTCCTATGCATATCTTTGAGTTCAAGTGAACGTATTTAAGCTTTAACTGTTAGTCAACTGATAGAAGAATAAAAGAAAAAGTTAGTAAAAGTTTTAAGATTAATATATTAAAATTATAAAATGAAAATATTTAAGACACTTGTAGACTCAATTGAAAGGTCTTTAGAGGCAGCCAGCTCCCAGATCTGGACA